TTCCCCCGAGGACGGCTGTCTTTCCCACAGATCTGTTCTAATCACTAGGACGGCTGTCTTTCCAACAGCTGTGTTCTAATCACTAGGACGGCTGTCTTTCCCACAGATCTGTTATAATGACTAGGACAGCTGTCTTTCCCACAGCCGTGTTTCTTCCCCCGAGGACGGCTGTCTTTCCCACAGATCTGTTCTAATCACTAGGACAGCTGTCTTTCCCACAGCTGTGTTTCTTTCCCCGAGGACGGCTGTCTTTCCCACAGCTATGTTCTAATCACTAGGACGGCTGTCTTTCCCACAGATCTGTTATAATGACTAGGACAGCTGTCTTTCCCACAGCTATGTTCTAATCACTAGGACGGCTGTCTCTCCCACAGCTATGTTCTAATCACTAGGATGGCTGTCTTCCCCACAGCTCTCTTATAATCACTAGGACGGCTGTCTTTCCCACAGCTATGTTCTAATCACTAGGACGGCTGTCTTTCCCACAGCTCTGTTCTAATCACTAGGACGGCTGTCTTTGCCACAGCTATGTTCTAATCACTAGGACAGCTGTCTTTCCCACAGCTATGTTCTAATCACTAGGATGGCTGTCTCTCCCACAGCTATGTTCTAATCATTAGGATGGCTGTCTTTCCCACAGCTATGTTCTAATCACTAGGACAGCTGTCTTTCCCACAGCTATGTTCTAATCACTAGGACGGCTGTCTTTCCCACAGCTCTGTTCTAATCACTAGGACAGCTGTCTTTCCCACAGCTATGTTCGAATCACTAGGACGGCTGTCTTTCCCACAGCTATGTTCTAATCACTAGGATGGCTGTCTTTCCCACAGCTCTCTAATAATCACTAGGACGGTTGTCTTTCCCACAGCTGTGTTCTAATCACTAGGACGGCTGTCTCTCCCACAGCTCTCTTATAATCACTAGGACGGCTGTCTTTCCCACAGCTCTCTTATAATCACTAGGACGGCTGTCTTTCCCACAGCTCTCTTATAATCACTAGGACGGCTGTCTTTCCCACAGCTCTCTTATAATCACTAGGACGGCTGTCTTTCCCACAGCTCTCTTATAATCACTAGGACGGCTGTCTTTCCCACAGCTCTCTTATAATCACTAGGACGGCTGTCTTTCCCACAGCTCTCTTATAATCACTAGGACGGCTGTCTTTCCCACAGCTCTCTTATAATCACTAGGACGGCTGTCTTTCCCACAGCTCTCTTATAATCACTAGGACGGCTGTCTTTCCCACAGCTGTGTTATAATCACTAGGATGGCTGTCTTTCCCACAGCTCTCTTATAATCACTAGGACGGCTGTCTTTCCCACAGCTCTCTTATAATCACTAGGACGGCTGTCTTTCCCACAGCTCTCTTATAATCACTAGGACGGCTGTCTTTCCCACAGCTCTCTTATAATCACTAGGACGGCTGTCTTTCCCACAGCTCTCTTATAATCACTAGGACGGCTGTCTTTCCCACAGCTCTCTTATAATCACTAGGACGGCTGTCTTTCCCACAGCTCTCTTATAATCACTAGGACGGCTGTCTTTCCCACAGCTGTGTTATAATCACTAGGATGGCTGTCTTTCCCACAGCTCTCTTATAATCACTAGGACGGCTGTCTTTCCCACAGCTCTCTTATAATCACTAGGACGGCTGTCTTTCCCACAGCTCTCTTATAATCACTAGGACGGCTGTCTTTCCCACAGCTCTCTTATAATCACTAGGACGGCTGTCTTTCCCACAGCTCTCTTATAATCACTAGGACGGCTGTCTTTCCACAGCTCTCTTATAATCACTAGGACGGCTGTCTTTCCACAGCTCTCTTATAATCACTAGGACGGCTGTCTTTCCCACAGCTCTCTTATAATCACTAGGACGGCTGTCTTTCCCACAGCTCTCTATAATCACTAGGACGGCTGTCTTTCCCACAGCTTCTCTTATAATCACTAGGACGGCTGTCTTTCCCACAGCTCTCTTATAATCACTAGGACGGCTGTCTTTCCCACAGCTCTCTTATAATCACTAGGACGGCTGTCTTTCCCACAGCTCTGTTATAATCACTAGGACGGCTGTCTTTCCCACAGCTCTCTTATAATCACTAGGACGGCTGTCTTTCCCACAGCTCTGTTATAATCACTAGGACGGCTGTCTTTCCCACAGCTCTGTTATAATCACTAGGACAGCTGTCTTTCCCACAGCTCTGTTATAATCACTAGGACGGCTGTCTTTCCCACAGCTCTGTTATAATCACTAGGACGGCTGTCTTTTCCACAGCTATGTTCTAATCACTAGGACGGCTGTCTTTCCCACAGCTACGTTCTAATCACTAGGACGGCTGTCTTTCCCACAGCTCTGTTATAATCACTACGACGGCTGTCTTTCCCACAGCTACGTTCTAATCACTAGGACGGCTGTCTTTCCCACAGCTCTGTTATAATCACTAGGACGGCTGTCTTTCCCACAGCTCTCTTGTAACCACTAGGATGGCTGTCTTTCCCACAGCTCTCTTGTAACCACTAGGACGGCTGTCTTTCCCACAGCTCTCTTGTAACCACTAGGACGGCTGTCTTTCCCACAGCTCTCTTATAATCACTAGGACGGCTGTCTTTCCCACAGCTCTCTTATAATCACTAGGACGGCTGTCTTTCCCACAGCTCTCTTATAATCACTAGGACGGCTGTCTTTCCCACAGCTCTCTTATAATCACTAGGACGGCTGTCTTTCCCACAGCTCTCTTATAATCACTAGGACGGCTGTCTTTCCCACAGCTCTCTTATAATCACTAGGACGGCTGTCTTTCCCACAGCTGTGTTATAATCACTAGGATGGCTGTCTTTCCCACAGCTCTCTTATAATCACTAGGACGGCTGTCTTTCCCACAGCTCTCTTATAATCACTAGGACGGCTGTCTTTCCCACAGCTCTCTTATAATCACTAGGACGGCTGTCTTTTCCACAGCTCTCTTATAACCACTAGGACGGCTGTCTTTCCCACAGCTCTCTTATAATCACTAGGACGGCTGTCTTTCCCACAGCTGTGTTATAATCACTAGGATGGCTGTCTTTCCCACAGCTCTCTTATAATCACTAGGACGGCTGTCTTTCCCACAGCTCTCTTATAATCACTAGGACGGCTGTCTTTCCCACAGCTCTCTTATAATCACTAGGACGGCTGTCTTTTCCACAGCTCTCTTATAACCACTAGGACGGCTGTCTTTCCCACAGCTCTCTTATAACCACTAGGACGGCTGTCTTTCCCACAGCTGTGTTTCTTCACCCGAGGACGGCTGCTTGCGTCATGGCCGAACACGTCGTGGGAAATTTCACCGCGCCATTTCACTTCACCGATTTACAAATTTCCTTCTCGTTCTACGCGACTCCTTTTTTTTTCGCCGAAAGGACCAGGGAAGGCGCGGATCCGAGCGGTCACTCTGGAGCTTTCGAAATCTGAGCGCAGCTGGAGGATGGGCGAGTGAATCGCACCGCTGGGCTTTGCCAGCGTCCGACCTCATCGTGGTACAACCCGGCACAGCGTCGTCGGCGCTGGTGCTATGCGCGCCAGCGCTGACGACAGCGGCAGCAGCGGCCGCTTGGAAGCCGTTGAATCAAAAGCTCGTGGTCCGCACCACGCTGCGATGTGCTCCTCCGGCCGATGGCAGCGGCCCAAGGGGCCCGGCAATTTTTAAAAAAAAAATTTTAAAAAAAAATTTGAAATTTCCGCGTCCGCCGGATGCTTGCTGAGGCCCCCGTAGCCCCGGCTGAAACTTTCGCCCCCACCCACACCCCCACCCCCACCCCCACACCCACCCCCACCCCCGCTCCCCCTACGGCCACTGAAAGTATCACGGTAAACAAAGCGGCGGCCACTTCAAAGATTGCTGTTTTCGACGCGCGGACAATTCGAATCATCGCTAGGCCTCCTTTGCCAGTTCCAAAATGAAATGATAATGATGATGATGATAATAATAATAATAACACAGGGTTTTTCCGCTTTGTTTGGCAACGAAACTGAAACCATTTTTTTTTACGAGGATTCATGTTTACCGCATTAACCACAATACCCGCGGTCAAAATGTGTCAACAAAACACACCACACACTATGATAATATACAATGTGTTGTCCTTGACGCTGATTGGTCCACACCAAGGGACGGCTTTCTTGTTGAGCCTCGACCCAATTGGTGCTCGACCAGATGACGCCAAAAGGCGTCACACAGCTCAGAGACAATGCCACTATCAAAGTAGTAATGAGGGCTCGGGGTGGGCATCTACATCATCATTATTAGACCTTCTTTGCTAGTACCAAAACGTAATAATAATAATAAACAGGGTTTTTCCGCTTTGTTTGGCAACGAAACTGAAACCATTTTTTTCACGAGGATTCACGTTTACCGCATTAACCACAATACCCGTGGGTCAAAATGTCAACAAAAAACACCACACACTGTGATAATAGTACCCCCTAAGTGCTACCTGAGTACCCCTGAGTACTTGACTGAGCACCCCCTGAGTACCCCTGAGTACACCTGAGTACCCCTGAGTACCTGATTGAGTAACTCTGAGTACCCTGAGTACCACCTGAGTACCCTGAGTACCCCCTGCGTACCCTGAGTACCCTGAGTACCCTGAGTACCCCCTGCATACCCTGAGTACCACCTGCGTACCCTGAGTACCCTGAGTACCCCTGAGTACCTGACTGAGTACCCTGAGTACCCCCTGCGTACCCTGAGTACCCCCTGCGTACCCTGAGTAACCTGAGTACCCCTGAGTACCCTGAGTACATTGAGTACCCTAAGTACCCCTTAGTACCCTGAGTACCCCCTGCGTACCCTGAGTCCCACCTGAGTACACCCTGAGTACCCCCTGAGTACCCCCGAGTACCCGCTGAGTACCTGTAGTGAAGACCACGTGACGTGACACCACGTGGTACTCCACTAGACCTAGTGAGTACCACCTGAGTCCCACGTGAGTACCTCCGAGTACCCCTGAGTACCCCTGAGTACCTGTAGTGAAGACCACGTGACGTGACACCACGTGGTACTCCACAACGCTGAACTGAGGGAGCTCCACGCGTTCCACTCCGGTGACGGCGTCGCCGCCGCCACGCCAATAGAACTCCAGATCGTCGGTCGTGTACCCATCTAGCAGTGGATCAGTAGTATCAGTATCAGTAGTATCAGTAGGATCAGTAGTATCAGTAGTAGTATCACTAGTAGTAGTATCAGTAGAACTCCAGATCGTCTGTCGTGTACCCATCTAGCAGTGGATCAGTAGTAGTAGTATCAGTAGCAGTAGTATCAGTAGGATCAGTAGTAGTATCAGTAGTAGTAGTATCAGTAGTAGTAGTATCAGTAGTAGTAGTATCAGTAGAACTCCAGATCGTCCGTCGTGTACCCATCTAGCAGTGGATCAGTAGTAGTATCAGTAGTAGTATCAGTAGTAGTAGTATCAGTAGTAGTATCAGTAGTAGTAGTATCAGTAGTAGTATCAGTATCAGTAGTAGTATCACTAGAACTCCAGATCGTCCGTCGTGTACCCATCTAGCAGTGGATCAGTAGTAGTATCAGTAGCAGTAGTAGCAGTAGTAGTATCACTAGTAGTAGTATCAGTAGTAGGATCAGTAGTAGTATCAGTAGTAGTATCAGTAGAACTCCAGATCGTCCGTCGTGTACCCATCTAGCAGTGGATCAGTAGTAGTATCAGTAGTAGTATCACTAGTAGTATCAGTAGTGGTAGTATCAGTAGTATCACTAGTAGTAGTATCAGGAGTAGTATCAGTAGTAGTAGTATCAGTAGTAGTAGGATCAGTAGTAGTAGTATCAGTAGTAGTAGTATCAGTAGTAGTATCAGTAGTAGTATCACTAGTAGTAGTATCAGTAGTAGTAGTATCAGTAGTAGTAGTAGTATCACTAGTAGTAGTATCAGTAGTAGTATCAGTAGTAGTATCAGTAGTAGCAGTATCAGTAGTAGTAGTATCACTAGTAGTAGTATCAGCAGTAGTGTATCAGTAGTAGTAGGATCAAGCAGTAGGATCAGCAGCAGTAGAATCAGTAGTAGTAGTATCAGTAGTAGTAGTAGGATCAAGCAGTAGGATCAGTAGTAGTAGTATCAGTAGGAGTATCAGCAGTAGTAATATCAGCAGTAGGAGTATCAGTAGTAGTAGTATCAGTAGTAGTAGTATCAGTAGTAGTAGTATCAGTAGTAGTAGTATCAGCAGTAGGAGTATCAGCAGTAGGAGTATCAGTAGTAGTAGTATCAGTAGTAGTAGTATCAGTAGTAGTAGTATCAGCAGTAGTAGTATCAGCAGTAGGAGCATCAGCAGTAGGAGTAGTGTCAGTAGTAGTAGTATCAGCAGTAGGAGTAGTGTCAGTAGTAGGAGTATCAGTAGTAGTAGTATCAGTAGTAGTGTCAGTAGTAGGAGTATCTGCAGTAGTATCAGCAGTAGGAGTAGAGTCAGTAGTAGTAGTAGTATCAGTAGTAGTATCAGCAGTAGGAGTAGTGTCAGTAGTAGTAGTATCAGTAGTAGTATCAGCAGTAGGAGTAGTGTCAGTAGTAGGAGTATCAGTAGTAGTATCAGCAGTAGGAGTAGTGTCAGTAGTAGTAGTATCAGTAGTAGTATCAGCAGTAGGAGTAGTGTCAGTAGTAGGAGTATCAGTAGTAGTATCAGCAGTAGGAGTAGTGTCAATAGTAGTAGTATCAGTAGTAGTATCAGCAGTAGGAGTAGTGTCAGTAGTAGTAGTAGTATCAGTAATAGTATCAGCAGTAGGAGTAATGTCAGTAGTAGTAGTATCAGCAGTAGTAGTATCAGCAGTAGGAGTATCAGCAGTAGTAGTATCAGTAGTAGTATCAGCAGTAGGAGTAGTGTCAGTAGCAGTATCAGTATTAGTATCAGCAGTAGGAGTAGTGTCAGTAGTAGTGGTATCAGCAGTAGTAGTATCAGTAGTAGTATCAGTAGTAGTATCAGCAGGAGGAGTAGTGTCAGTAGTAGTAGTATCAGTAGTAGTATCAGCAGTAGGAGTAGTGTCAGTAGTAGTATCAGTAGTAGTATCAGCAGTAGGAGTAGTGTCAGTAGTAGTATCAGCAGTAGTAGTATCAGCAGCAGTAGTATCAGCAGTAGGAGTATCAGCAGTAGGAGTATCAGCAGTAGTAGTATCAGCAGTAGTAGTATCAGCAGTAGGAGTATCAGTAGTAGTATCAGCAGTAGGAGTATCAGCAGTAGTAGTATCAGTAGTAGTATCAGCAGTAGGAGTAGTGTCAGTAGTAGTAGTATCAGCAGTAGTAGTATCAGCAGCAGTAGTATTAGTAGTAGTAGTATCAGCAGTAGTAGTATCAGCAGTAGTAGTATCAGTAGTAATAGTATCAGCGGTAGTAGTATCAGTAGTAGTAGTATCAATAGTAGTATCAGCAGTAGTAGTATCAGTAGGAGTATCAGCAGTAGGAGTATCAGTAGTAGTAGTATCAGTAGTAGTAGTATCAATAGTAGTAGTATCAGTAGTGGTAGTATCAGTAGTAGTAGTATCGGTAGTAGTATTAGCAGTAGTAGTAGTATCAGTTGTAGTATCAGCAGTAGGAGTATCAGTAGTAGTATCAGTAGTAGTAGTAGTATCAGTAGTAGTAGTATCAGTAGTAGTAGTATCAGCAGTAGGAGTATCAGTAGTAGTAGTAGTATCAGTAGTAGTAGTGTCAGTAGTAGTGTCAGTAGTAGGAGTATCAGCAGTAGGAGTATCAGCAGTAGTAGTATCAGTAGTAGTATCAGCAGTAGGAGTAGTGTCAGTAGTAGTAGTATCAGTAGTAGTATCAGCAGTAGGAGTATCAGCAGTAGTAGTATCAGCAGTAGGAGTAGTGTCAGTAGTAGTAGTATCAGTAGTAGTATCAGCAGTAGGAGTAGTGTCAGTAATAGTATCAGTAGTAGTATCAGCAGTAGGAGTAGTGTCAGTAGTAGGAGCTGCTTCTGCTGCTGAGGATGGTGATGATGATGATGATGCGGATGATGATGCTGCTGCTGCTGATGATGCTGCTGCTGATTATGATGCTGATGATGATGCTGATGATGATGCTGTTTATGATGCTGATGATGATGGTGCTGCTGCTGATGATGCTGATGATGCTGATGATGCTGCTGATGATGATGCTGGTGCTGATGATGCTGCTGCTGATGATGATGATGGTGATACTGATGATGATGCTGATGATGATGCTGCTGCTGATGATGATGCTGATGATGCTGCTGATGATGATGATGCTGATGATGATGATGGTGATACTGATGATGATGCTGATGATGATGCTGCTGATGATGCTGATGATGATGATGCTGATGATGATGATGGTGATACTGATGATGATGCTGATGATGATGCTGCTGATGATGATGGTGATGATGATGCTGATGATGATGCTGCTGATGATGATGCTGATAATGCTGATGATGCTGCTGCTGCTGATGATGGTGATAATGATACTGATAATGATGCTGATGATGATGCTGATGATGATGCTGATGATGTTGTTGATGATGAAGCTGATGATGATGGTGCTGATGATGATGCTGATGATGAGGAGGCTGATGATGATGATGCTGATGATGGAGATGATGCTTCTTCTGCTGCTGATGATGATGCTGATGCTGGTGAGGCCGATGATGATGCCGATGATGATGCTGATGATGATGCTGATGATGATGTTGATGATGATGCTGCTGCTGATGATGGTGATGATGCTGCTGATGATGATGCTGATGATGATGATGATGCTGATGATGATGCTGCTGCTGATGATGATGCTGCTGCTGATTATGATGCTGATGATGATGATGCTATTGATGATGCTGATGATGATGCTGATGATGCTGCTGCTGATGATGATGCTGATGATGATGGCAACTCACAACTTTCTATCTCGAGGGTGCAGTTCTGCTCGTCCAGGGGATATCTCCGAAGATCCATCATGCACGCAGCTGTGGTGGTGATCCTGCAACACCACTCACCACTCACTCACCACTCACTCACCACTCACTCAGTCACTCACCACTCACTACTCACCACTCACTCACCACTCACCACTCACTCACCACTCACTCACCACTCACTCAGTCACTCAGTCACTCACTCACACACTCACTCACTCACTCACCACTCACCACTCACTCACCACTCACCACTCACCAGTCACTCACTCACTCAGTCACTCACTCACTCACCACTCACTCACTCAGTCACTCACTCACTCACCCACTCACCCACTCACTCACCTACAAACTCACTCAGTCACTCACTCACCACTCACCACTCACTCACCACTTACTACTCACCACTCACTCACCACTCACTCACTACTCACCACTCACTCACCACTCACCCACTCACTCACCACTCACCAGTCACTCACCACTCACTCACCACTCACTCAGTCACTCACTCAGTCACTCACTCACTCACCACTCACTCAACCACTCACCCACTCACCCACTCACTCACCTACTCACTCACTGAGTCACTCACTCACCCACTCACTCACTCACCCCCTCACTCACTCACTCACCACTCACCACTCACTCACTCACCACTCACCCAGTCACTCACTCACCACTCACTCACTCACCACTCACTCAGTCACTCAGTCACTCACTCACTCACCACTCACTCACCACTCACTCACTCACCCACTCAGTCACTCACTCACTCACCACTCACTCACTCAGTCACTCACTCACTCACCCACTCACCCACTCACTCACCTACAAACTCACTCAGTCACTCACTCACCACTCACCACTCACTCACCACTTACTACTCACCACTCACTCACCACTCACTCACTACTCACCACTCACTCACCACTCACCCACTCACTCACCACTCACCAGTCACTCACCACTCACTCACCACTCACTCAGTCACTCACTCAGTCACTCACTCACTCACTCACCACTCACTCAACCACTCACCCACTCACCCACTCACTCACCTACTCACTCACTGAGTCACTCACTCACCCACTCACTCACTCACCCCCTCACTCACTCACTCACCACTCACCACTCACTCACTCACCACTCACCCAGTCACTCACTCACCACTCACTCACTCACCACTCACCACTCACTCAGTCACTCAGTCACTCACTCACTCAACACTCACTCACCACTCACTCACTCACTCACCCACTCAGTCACTCACTCACCACTCACTCACCACTCACTCACTACTCACCACTCACTCACCACTCACCACTCACTCACCACTCACTCACCATTCACTCACCATTCACTCACCACTCACTCACTCACTCACCACTCACTCACCATTCACTCACCACTCACTCACCACTCACTCACCACTCATTCACTCACTCACCCACTCACCCACTCACTCAGTCACTCAGTCACTTACTCACTCACCACTCACTCAGCACTCACCCACTCACTCACCACTCACTCACCACTCACTCACTCACTCACCACTCACTCACCACTCACTCACTCACCACTCACTCACCACTCACTCACCATTCACTCACTCACTCACTCAGTCACTCACTCAGTCACCACTCACTCACCACTCACTAACCACTCACCACTCACTCAGTCACTCACTCACCACTCACTCACTCAGTCACTCACTCACCACTCACTCACCACGCACTCACTCACCACTCACTTACCAGTCACTCACTCACCACTCACTCACTCACTCAGTCACTCACTCACTCACTCAGTCACTCACACACTCACTAACTCACCACTCACTCACTCACTCAACCACTCACTCACACACTCACTCACTCACTCACCACTCACTCACCACTCACTCACTCAGTCACTCAGTCACTCACCTCTCACTCACCACTCACCACTCACTCACCACTCACTCACTCACCACTCACTCACTCACTCACCACTCACTCACCACTCATTCACTCAGTCACTCAGTCACTCACCACTCACTCACCACTCACTCACTCACCACTCACTCACCACTCATTCACTAAGTCACTCACTCACTCAGTCACTCACTCACTCACGACTCACTCACCACTCACCACTCACTCACCACTCACTCACTCACCACTCACCCACCCACTCACTCACTCAGTCACTCACTCACTCACTCAGTCACTCAGTCACTCACTCACTCAGTCACTCAGTCACTCACTAACTCACCACCCACTCACTCACTCACCACTCACTCACCACTTACTCATTCATTCACTCACTCACCACTCACTCACCACTCACTTACTCACTCACCACTCACTCACCACTCACTCACTCATTCACTCAGTCACTCACTCACTCAGTCACCACTCACTCACTCACCCACTCACTCACACAGTCACTCACTCACCACTCACTCACCACTCACTCACCACTCCCCACTCACTCACCACTCACTCACCACTCATTCACTCACCACTCACTCACCACTCACTCACCACTCACTCACCATTCACTCACTCACTCAGTCACTCACTCAGTCACCACTCACTCACCACTCACTCACCACTCACCCACCACTCACCACTCACTCAGTCACTCACTCACCACTCACTCACTCAGTCACTCACTCACCACTCACTCACCACTCACTCACTCACCACTCACTCACCACTCACTCACTCACCACTCACTCACTCACTCAGTCACTCACTCACTCAGTCACTCACACACTCACTCACTCACCACTCACTCACTCACTCACCACTCACTCACTCACTCAGTCACTCACTCAGTCACTCACTCACTCAGTCACTCACTCAGTCATTCACTCACTCACTCACCACTCACTCACCACTCACTCAGTCAATCACTCACTCACTCACCCACTCACTCACCACTCACCACTCACTCACCACTCACTCACCACTCACTCATCACTCACCCACCCACTCACTCACTCAGTCACTCACTCACTCACTCAGTCACTCAGTCACTCACTCACTCACCCACTCACTCACCACTCACCACTCACTCACCACTCACTCACCACTCACTCACTCACCACTCACTCACTCATTCACTCAGTCACTCACTCACTCAGTCACCACTCACTCACTCACCCACTCACTCACACAGTCACTCACTCACCACTCACTCACCACTCACTCACCACTCACCACTCACTCACCACTCACTCACCACTCATTCACTCACCACTCACTCACCACTCACTCACCACTCACTCACCATTCACTCACTCACTCAGTCACTCACTCAGTCACCACTCACTCACCACTCACTCACCACTCACCACTCACTCAGTCACTCACTCACCACTCACTCACTCAGTCACTCACTCACCACTCACTCACCACTCACTCACTCACTCACCACTCACTCACTCACCACTCACTCACTCAGTCACTCACTCACTCACCACTCACTCACCACTCACTCACTCACCACTCACTCACCACTCACTCACTCACCACTCACTCACTCAGTCACTCACTCACTCAGACACTCACACACTCACTCACTCACCACTCAATCACTCACTCAACCACTCACACACTCACTCACCACTCACTCACCACTCACTCAGTCACTCACCACTCACTCACCACTCACTCACTCACTCACCACTCACTCACCACTCACTCACCACTCACTCACTCACCCACTCACTCACTCACTCACCACTCAGTCACCACTCAGTCACTCACTCACTCAGTCACTCACCACTCACTCACCACTCACTCACTCACTCACCACTCACTCACCACTCACTCACCACTCACTCACTCACCCACTCACTCACTCACTCACCACTCACCACTCACTCACTCACTCAGTCACTCACTCACCACTCACTCACTCACACACTCACTCACTCAATCACTCACTCACCACTCACTCACCACTCAGTCACTCAGTCACTCAGTCACTCACCACTCACTCACCACTCACCACTCATTCACTCACTCACCACTCACTCACCACGCACTCACCACTCACTCAGTCACTCACTCACTCAGTCACTCACTCACTCACCACTCACTCACTCAGTCACTCACTCACCACTCACTTACTCACTCACTCACTCACCCACTCACTCACTCACTCAGTCACTCACTCACCACTCACTCACTCAGTCACTCACCACTCACTACTCACCACTCACTCACCACTCACCACTCACTCACCACTCACTCACCACTCACTCAGTCACTCAGTCACTCAGTCAATCACTCACTCACTCACCACTCACCACTCACTCACCACTCACCAGTCACTCACTCACTCAGTCACTCACTCACTCACCACTCACTCACTCAGTCACTCACTCACTCACTCACCCACTCACCCACTCACTCACCTACAAACTCACTCAGTCACTCACTCACCACTCACCACTCACTCACCACTTACTACTCACCACTCACTCACTACTCACCACTCACTCACCACTCACCCACTCACTCACCACTCACCAGTCACTCACCACTCACTCACCACTCACTCAGTCACTCACTCAGTCACTCACTCACTCACTCACCACTCACTCAACCACTCACCCACTCACCCACTCACTCACCTACTCACTCACTGAGTCACTCACTCACCCACTCACTCACTCACCCCCTCACTCACTCACTCACCACTCACCACTCACTCACTCACCACTCACCCAGTCACTCACTCACCACTCACTCACTCACCACTCACCACTCACTCAGTCACTCAGTCACTCACTCACTCACCACTCACTCACCACTCACTCACTCACTCACCCACTCAGTCACTCACTCACCACTCACTCACCACTCACTCACTACTCACCACTCACTCACCACTCACCACTCACTCACCATTCACTCACCATTCACTCACCACTCACTCACTCACTCACCACTCACTCACCATTCACTCACCACTCACTCACCACTCACTCACCACTCATTCACTCACTCACCCACTCACCTACTCACTCAGTCACTCAGTCACTTACTCACTCACCACTCACTCAGCA